AAGTCAACCCCATCATGTCTACCTAAGCTAATACATACAGTTTTTCCTAAATGTAAACCATACAAGCCAGTAAATCAGATGCTATGTGTTGCATATGTTTGCAATTTAGATCATAATGCACAGCATAAGATGCTAGTCTGAACCACTACTCTATACTCCTTACTGCCATACTGCCCAATCATCCCCGTTTCTGAGGGACTGTCCCGATACTTTATTGAGTCACGAATCTGGGCCATGGCCTGCAGCTGAGTGCTGGAATGGTTGTTCCGGCACTCAACTACACACCTAAGCAATCCACTCTCACTTCCACACTTTTCTGCTCCCCCATTCAAGTACAGAAAGCCGGTGACGTCACATCTGCCTACAGTTGACATGAGTGTGCCGTAGCTACTGTAGATGATTCTCCTGCCGCCAAACAAGGATTTCATGTCAAACACTCCTCTAATCTATTTTGTCTCATTTGAGCAATCGGTAAAACCATAAACACAAGAAAAAATTTTTTACATTTCAAACAGTGTGCAAAAGATGATAGGGAAATAATATAAAGAACCAAACAGAACATGGTTTAAAACACCTAATAGTTGTTTTTTTTTAAGTGATTATATATTTGAGCTTTATGGGGATTTTTTTTACATTTCCCTGGAAATAAAATAAAAAATAAAATGTTTGAGTCAAATAACTGTACCCCCACCCTCCTCTTGTTACCACTTGGCTTCATTATACTTCATTAAGCTAACCAACGCCCGCTTTGTCATTGAGAATGTGTGATGTTGGCTGCGTTGGTTTGAGATACACCAGTTCAAAGGCTGTGCTCTCAGTTTTATTTTGCTTGAACGGCATACAGAATTATTTAAACAAGTCCATCCCTTGTACTACACATAGGATAAATTCCAATGACTGAAGACCCTAGAGTGATGATTTCCCTTAATATTAGTCCTCCGTGGAAGAAAATATTGGCGACGTGTGCCAAGGTTGGCAAGGTCACTGCTGATCACACTCGTATTAGTCATTGCATAGAGTGGGCAGCACTGCTATCTCCAAGGGATAGTAATTTCCTACAAGCAACAACATCACAACAGCTGCTTGTACCTATCATGAATAGAAGACCACTGCAACAAAAATACAAGCATTGTAACGTTACAGAAAAGGTATAAAAAGAAGCCATAGTTGTATGTTTAAAGATAACTTAAAATTCACACTTCATATAAGTCAACAGCGCACAACTCAGACTTACCAAATCATGCCAATATTTTCAGTAACAAAAATTTGTTTCCTTGCTATTTTTTTTTTTTTTAAACTATGCTCCCTTGTGTGGTACAGATTACATTTCCTTGGGTTACCAGGAGCACTGTGGGCTTACAACCCAAAGTCTTGTACCCCCTCCCCTCCTCCTGCAGTTGGAGTAGCATGCAAAGTCCCCTGTATTGTGTCCTGTGACACCTGCCAGGAAATTAAATGTTTTTATACACCTTGTCCCCTTGTTCCTAATTGTAAACAAAATATTGTGCAGGTGACAAACCCTACCTACTTCTTTAGGTGTTTTTGTGAAGCCTATTTCACCATGCGGTTGTTTGGAGGAATGCTTTCCCTGGATGGTTTCCTGAAGTGGGAACTAAAGTGCTCTTATCCACCTGCAGTGGGTGCACCATTCATACATGGAGGGTGTTTGATCCTTAGGAGAATTGAAATGGTTCTTTAATTCAGTGTATTGTATGTTCATGGTATTATGGCAGCTTCCAAAAGGTTAGTTGGTAAAAGAGTTGAATCACTAAAAGTGATTAGTTGGAAGATGCTGAAAACCAGGTAAACCTGTTGCACTGGATCATATAATAATCATTATGGCTACTGGTACATCTGGGCTTTTACAGCTGTGAGAAAGGGTACACAGGTTCAATGGGCATTTTCTGGATTTTCTTTATTGTATCTGTAGCCCCCATCACCTTTTGTGAGGTGGTTACTAGACATTTAGTGATTTCTAGGGCTGTAGATAGCCTGGCTGGATTATAGTGGCATTTATATGGTTAATTTCAGGTGTCTGACATTGACTGTACCTGGGTGGAGTATGACTCTGCCGTATTGTGGGACAGCCAATGAGACGCACTGAGTGTATGTGCAGTACAGCAGCCAATCAATGGGGTTCTCTCAACCAGTGATGCATGCTGGGATAGGGTACATATACTGGAGTGAATTGCCATATGCTCAGACTAGTCGGGACCAGCCATGGATTAGCACAGGACTGTGTGCCTTCCAGCCACCCCCCAGGCTAGGCCTGAGGGTGAACGGAGGCTGGAGTGTGGGAAGTGTTTCCCTAGGCCTCAATTATGGGGTAGTGAGGTAGGCCAGGGAACCAGGAAGATGGATGGCTACTTAAGGCACTCAGAATGCAGAGGACCTCAGGAGCATGGCTGGCGTCTACTGAGGATTTGTGCTCATCCCTGCTCATCTGTTACTCCAATTACTATTCACTGTATCACAAGTGGATCTACACTGACATACTAATAAAGGTCTAGTGAGTCTGGAGTCTATCTGTTACACCCTGGATGTCTAGGATCCCTATACCCTCTCTCCCCAGTGTGAAGATGTTTAATAAATGTTATTCAGCATTGCATTACTGGAGTGGATATCAGCTTTGTGGGCACTAGAAGAGGGCGGTTAAATGCTAATGGGGCAGCTGAAGACCAAATCCCCTAGACAGACTAGTGATGACCCGGTTATTCCAGAAGCTCCTTAGCGGGTGAGCTCTACAGATCAATACAACTTTTAGGGTCCTACTTTGAGTATGGGACTCGGCCTTTCATCACCTGGTCACTTTATTAGACAAGAAGTATGATTATTTTTTTAGTTGTCGGGATTGTTTGGATTATCAGCCATTTTTTTTTGTTTGTCTGGACTATAGCTGGAAACCTCAGCTAATCTCTTAATACCCAACTCAGAGCTAATATTTCCTTGAAAAAATAGAGGCACACACATTTTTATTTTGTAAATCCACCTCCGGCTACAGTACTTAATTCCTCCCCAGAGCAGACTCACCTCTGCCGAGGTCCAATACCAGCCGTTTTCCGGGTTGAATGAAACCCAGCGTTAGGACTGAAATATAGGGCTGCCACATCATTCTCCACAGATGGTATTCTCAGCCATGTTTCAGTTTTTAGTAAGTCACAGACTCTGAAAGTGTCTGCAGCCAGTGACCATGAAATACCTGACCACCATACTTATCCTGGATCACTTATCCAGCCTGGGAGTTTACACCTTTAAAATAAGTTAGCAATTGAAACTTCCATATTTATATCTTCAAACGTTCTTTTAAACTGCTGCTCCAGGGCAGAAAGTGTCCTCGGTGCTAAATGAACTCTATAAAGGCAGCCTGAATATGTTGATATTATATAAATACAGGAAAAAGCAGACTGTAAAAATAAATCCCATATATTGTAAATAGTGAGGCATTTGGGATTGATTTTGTGGCATATCCTGTGTACTCTAGACACATAGGAAGGATGTAATACCTGCACATTCTGCATCATTAGGTTCTAATAAGTAGAACTATTTCACATTTCCATCTTTAACAGAATTAGCACAGCGCCTAAAGCAATATGTACTGACCAAATCTTTTTGTACTTAATAACTTTGTTCTCTGATTAATTAAGTTTGTACGTTTTTCTTCCATCCGTCTTACCCAGTGGGCTGAAACATAACATACTGTGACAGGTGTAATATAAACCATAAGTGTGCCCATCTTAACAGTCACCTTTTGCCCTTCATTAGCACAAAAACGAAAAACATAGTGAGTCTCATTTTTGATCTCAAGAGGAACAAAGAGGCAGTTGAACCAAAGATTCAATATAATGCAAATATATTCTGGTGTCCGGTTCAGGTTTGGACCTGGAGGGATAGAAAAGCAGACACCCGCAAAGACCAAATAAAGAACAAAGGGAAACGTGTATATATATGCAATAATCCATGGCTGTGTACAGACATCATGCTGCCCCGGGGCACACAGGATGGCACGCTTCACCACAAGCTCCACCTCTTCTGCCACCAGGCACATTACATGGTTATTAGAGTTAAAGAAGAATGTCTAGTGCGTTACTAAATAAAAATGAAGCACTAAACTACAGAAAAAAAATTGCAAGTGTACATGATTCAATGTAGTTCACTTGGGATGGAAATATGGGCACTGTCATTGTTCACTTTTTTATTAGTTTCCTGACTGTCATGGTCACGTGTTCACTGGCTGAGACAAAGTATGCAGGAGAGTAAACTCAGAAGTCCCAACCTGAACACTTGATCCAGGTTATTGGATAAGCATGACCAGACATGTGCAAGAAAAGCCAGCAATGGCAGCCTCTATATTTTATTATGAGCCTTATACTTTTTTTTCAAGCTACAGTATGCCTAAAGTATCCACTACTGAACTGTGCTGCAAACTAGATGGTCTAAAGCAGGGGTCTCAAACCTCGGGCCCTCCAGCTGTGGTGAAACTACAAATCCCATGATGCATCTCTCTTCGAGAGTCATGGCTGTGAGAATCTTGCAATGCCTCATGGCATTTGTAGTTCCACCACAGCTGGAGGGCCTGGTCTAAAGTTAACATGGAACATGGGTATAGGCAGCTACCCCCCTTTCTTTCAGGATCTTTGCTGAGATTGTGATCCATGACTCACAATGTGCTCAGTTTTAAATATCAGTGGGTGAGCTATAAACAGCTCAAACAAGGGCAATCTGCCATGGTCAGTTGAACAGCATCGGGGATGAGAATATATCAGCTTTTACAGATGCTAGTCTTTGCTGTTAATAGTGCAGTTGTTTTTTGTTTTGGATAGAGGGGAGAAGAGTTTAGATTATAATTTATTATTATGTCCACATTGGGGTGATATTCCCTCACTTACTGCCCCTGAGACACCAATATATAAAATGAGGAGTGTCGGTGTCACCGGGACAAGTAGACACACATTTAGATTAGTACAATCCAGCACTTGTCTCTTGAAAGACTCCAGGCTTACCTTTGTATTTGGTCACAACAGCCGAGTTGACACTTAGAGGCTCTTGGAAGGTGACGGTGAGGGACGAACTGCTTGTGATCATGAGGCAGACATTGGTTGGTGCCTCAGGGACTCCTGGAACAGAAAGATAAAAAAAATTCAAATCCAGTTCCATAAATAAATTTCTACATTGTATGTATATTGTTATTTCTATTTAAAATTGTATCTGTCTCATTCCATCACATGTCCCAAAAATAAAAGGATTATTCCTCATATCAGGACAGTTGGCAGAGCCGTACAAATCACTGTTTTTCACCCCATTGGCTAGATCCGTATCCAGAACCGGTGGTGTATACTGCAAATATAGCCTGAAATAATACAACAATTTATTCTGAGCTGCATACAGCTGTTTTTTCATCATCAGTGTAGTGTAAGAAAATCATGGCTTCTTTCCACACACTGCACTGTTGATGGCCATATAGCCTGAACCAAACTTAGATTGTAAGCTCCTTGAGGGCAGGGACTTATGTGCTTGCATGGGTTTCCTCCCACACTCCAGAGATATGCTGGTAGGTTATTCAGTGGAGATGTTCACATCTTGCAGCTCGATGTCGCATGTAGCTCAAACATGACCTATTTTTGCGGTGGATTTCAAGCGATTTGGCCCAAAAAGACTTTGATAGACTGCCAAAAGAAGCGTAACGTAGTGCGACAAAATGTGCACTGTAGCTCAGCTCAATAAAAGCGCTAAAAAAGCTTGTAGCTCTGTGTGAATGGGGGTCTTAGATTGTAAGCACTTTGACAGCAGGAACTGGTGTTAATGTACATGTGCTCGCGTGGGTTTCCTCCGGGTACTCTGGTTTCCTATCACACTGCAAAGACATGCTGGAAGGTTAATTGGCTCCTGTCTAAATTGGCCTTTGTATGTGAGATAGGGACCCTAGATTGCAAGCTCCTTGAGGGCATGGACTGATGTCAATGTGCATGGCGTGGCGACACTCATTGTCCTGAAATAAGGATTTTTTGGGGGGATATGTGAAAGAGTAAAACAAGTGAATATCTTCTCTTCTAAAAAGGCTTTTCTATGCTGCGCACTGATTAGAGTGAAGGCTTTTTGATTGCTTTTGTCCCTTCTCGACATAACATGTAAAATATTATGTCAAATAATACAAGTCAGTTTCAAGATCATTTTCTCAAATGCTTTCTCAGTCATCTTGTTATGATCAGATTTAATTTACAGATCTGTAGATGTGCCCTCTGTAATCTAATTGTATGTCAGGCAGCACAGTCCCCCCAAAAAACCCAAACCCTTGAATAAAAATTAGACAGAGTATTGCTCTCAAGACAAAGCTCTGTCTTAAGATCTGCAGAGACAAGAAGCAGTAAAGCAAAATAACTCTGCTGCACGGTAGGTATGTGACTACTTGCTATGGTTGGCCTTTCTATTAAACCAAACATTTGCAAATGTAACTTTTGACGAGGTTTTGTCCATACACTTGGAAAGAGTTAGTAAAAAAAAAAAGCACTGAAGCTCAGTTTTCTGCCCTGCAAACAGGGGGCCCATCTTGTATATTTCATGAGCAAAATGGCTCCTTCATTGTAGACATATTAAACATTATAGAAAGAAAAAAGGCTTTTAAAACAATAGGTGATGATGCTACAAGTATTTAGGTGATGAGGCCACAAATATTTAGGTTATGATGGTCAAATCTGAATACAGTTACAGTAAACTTTATTAAGGCTGCAGATTTCCTTTAATGGGAGGGGTTGGAGCATCCGACCTTTCACAGTTGCAACAGTTGTGATTGATAGGATGAATACTCAGTAAATACAGGTTTGACGCTTGTATTATTCAATGTGTTTCTGTGTCACTAGACACCTCAATGTAAATAAGAGACGTTTAGTTCAACATGTCTCACAAGAATCTGCCAGCCTTACAAACACTAACTGCATAATACACACATAGTTTTACCATAGAGGTTAATCTGTAAGATTTTCAGTTCGCTAAGGTCTACGTAAACTAAGCATATTCCAACACATATCAGCAGAATAAACATTTTCCTTGGAAGTTATGTCAGTATCATTGGAGGGTTGCAGAGGAGGGCAAGGACAAATACTGACCAAGCAACTTGAATATAAAAAAAGAAAGCAGGCACAGAGAGTGCGGGAAGACCTCTTTCAGTAATAAATATATTAGGTCAATAAAAAAAAAAAAAGCACAGTCACCATACAAAGCATCTATAACACTGACATTTATTGGAGGTAGTTATAGGCAGTGGGGAAGCTAGATCTTCTGTCACCCGGGGGAAAAGGCTCAGAGTTGCTCCACCCTCCCCAAGGGAGAAGTTCTCTATCCACACACACAGTGGCACCCCTCCTAAAGTGGCACCGGGGGCACATGACCCCCCAGCCACCCCCCCTAGCTTCGGCCCTAGTTATAGGACTATTTTTTAGGAATATTAAACAGTCAAACAATTATACCGACGCCTCTGCATTCTACCCCATACCTTCCTGTTATCACATAACAATAAGCATAACAGATCTGACTGCCCTTAAACCTACTGGACCTCTCATTCATTTTACATTACAAAACGCAGGACCCTAGCTACCCGCCAGATTATAGCTGAGGCATGGAAAAAAACGGCCTTGAACTTTTTGGAGGTCAAGCAGAGGGTCAAGGGCATAATGGTGTATGAGAAGCTTACGGCTATCCTTAAAGACTCTTACTCCACTTACCTGAAAAATTGGTCTCCTTGGCTGGACTATGTCTGCACGATGGATTTAGACCATACCATGTTCTCTCTCTAATGACACTGCTGAAACGTGAGCCTGTTGCCCCATCCTGACCCAGACGCAGCTCCTCTCCCTCTCACTTTCCACTATTTTCCCTGTTATCTTCCTTTCTATTCTACTCTTATGATTTTCACCACCTGCTACAGGGGTTGCCTGTGCTGACCATCAGAACCGCTCGCTGATGATACTCTCCCCCTGGGCCCTGTGGCTACTGCAGACTACAGGTAGCGGAGTTGGAACTACTGTGTTCATTCCTCAACGACTATACTTGCTTCTATACTACTCCTGTTAATGTTTCATGTGTGCGAGTAATGTCCACACTGTTGACTTAAAGGAGAACTATGAGGTGAGTGATTTCCACTCATCCTCATAGTTAGAGCCGACCTGTGACAAAGAAGCTGTCACAGGTCAGCTGTATTCATCGGGAAGTGAACGAACGCATACCGTCGCTCACTCACTGTCCGATCATCTCCCTGCAAAGAGCGGTGACCGACAGTGCTGAGTGGAGGAACGGCCAGGGGAGGAGGCGGGCACAGCTGGCTCTGCCTCTAGGTAGGCAGAGCCCGCTGTCACTCACGCAGTTGGGTGGATCTCGACAGTTTTGTTGGGATCCGTCCCGGCTGCGGTGCTCTCAGTATATCGAGGGCAATAGACCGCGATATACTGAGCTTTGGGTCACGGGAGGAGGTTAGTATATGCCCTCCCATGACCCTAAAGAGAACTATGGGGAAAAACACTTACTCCATAGTTTCTTTTATTGTGCTTACATATTATTGATTTTGTACGTAGCTGTTTCTGCTGTTGTTGCATTTATGTTGTTACTATTTGTATTCTCTTGTTATTGCTCTTCTTTTGATTTCATCAAACTTTTTGTAAAACAAAATGCAGGACCACTGACAAGTCCTGTTCTGCAACAGGAGGACAGAGACTCCAGGGTACGGAGGGAAAAGTTGTAATAGGAATGTTAAATCTGAAAGCTCAAAGATATAAGAATAAAGTAGGTGGTTCAACCTACATAACTTAAATAGGATTTTTGAATTGACTGAATTTTGAAATATTTAAAAAATAAGACACTCTATTCGATTTTAATCTTTATCTTATTGGGGTGCCAAACTGCTTATCTTTCACAGCTTCCCAGTATAGTCAGATAGTCAGACCCTTGTCTTGCGGTCATCTAGCTTATATTATGGGTAGCCAAACTAAGGCCCTCCAGCTGGTTCAAAACTACAAACCCCACCATGCATCTGCTTCTGGGAGTCAATCTTGTGGCTCCCATAGTCTTGCAATGCCTAATGGGATTTGTAGTTGCACCGCAGCTGGCAGGCCTGAGTTTGCATACACCTGGCCTATATCATGACCTTTAAAATATACAGATTTTCATAGAGCACCATAGCATTTCATGGTAGCACTGCAATACTACATAGTAGAAGAAAAAGGCACTGCAGGTAAGAGCACTGCCGTTCCTGGTCTAAGCAAAACTGTATGAATTGGAAAACCCCATTGATACTAACAATATATACATGCAGTGGAAGAGACACACTTACACCTAATCCCAATGACCCAAGTAAAAAAAAAACAAATCAAGATATTATGGGTGTTCGGCCTAATATATCAGCTAATATTCAGCCGTCCCAGCTTCAGAATTGAAGATACAATTTAATGAACTATCCTAATGGTTCTGCTTTTAGCAAATCAGTCTGCAGTACTGAGATCTTGGCACTATTAAATCTTTGAATGGGACTGACAGTTGTTGGCACAAGATAATGTAAGAATGCTGCTGCAGAGCTTGATTTAGTGTTAGGGATTAGAAGTAGGAAGTTAAAGGATAGGAGAACACACACACACACACACACAGAAGCAGCAGGGTAAGGGATCTGGCACATGGGATCTCGAATAAGTAGCCTATCTCAGGATCCAGTATGTGGGATGTGTATTTCAATTGTCCTGCTGCTATGAGACAGAAAAAAAGGGACTGGGGTAGGGGAGGGAACGAATGTACTCTTTATTTAAAAACATGTACCTATCTTTTAAATTGAATTAATTGAATTAAATAAGACCTAGCACTATCTTCGGCGATTTCTGTAATATAAGACCTACCCCGAAAATAAGACCTAGGTCTTATATTACAGACATCCCTGAAGATAGCGCTAGGTCATACCTTCGGGGTAGCTGCACATGTAATAAAATTTTACATGTGAAGACCGGCCGCAGCTTCCTCCCGCCCCTCGCCCGTTAAATATAAGACACTGTCTTATTTTCGGGGAAACACGGTATATGCAAAAACATTTTAAAAAAAGTTACCAAAAAGGGTTTTACTTACCTGTGTCTCCGCCACTCGCTCC